ACTTCCGTAATTAGAATTATACCATAGATAGGATTCCTCCCCTATATAAAGAGGGTCCTAATCATTTGTAAGACGCATTAATCACGCGTATCAAAGCAATACAACACTTTCTCGCTTATATTCTTGTTCATTAGTTAGTTTGTTTCTTAACTATTTTGGGCACCGATCAGTTCGAGGGCACTCTAGCTCGAGGGTTGAACTACCTTACAACACTAGTTTGCTTTATCTTATTGTTAACTTCTATTACTAATATTCATATCTATCAATTGGTATTAGGTGAAATTACGTATCCTTAAAACCATATTGTAAGTTTAATTGTTATCCAATTGGTATTAGTGATTGCCTGGTATTAATTTTCATAACACACACTACTTTACGCTTGTTTTTGTGAGTGTTTTTGATTTTAGGATCAACATGTCTAACTCACAAGCAATACCCACTCACGCCGACAACGGCCTTGATCTTCAGAACGGGAACGAAAACATAGTCGCCCCGGGAAATGGAGTACCTCCAGTCATCCCCGATGGACCGCCGGTCGTAGACCTAGTCGATGTCAGCTCCCATATTGCCATTAATGGGAATTTGGGCGTCGACCCTGAAAATAGCGTCCACAGAGATGCTCGAGCAGCCGATCCGAACGCACAGAGCGGTGAAGAAGGAGGAATTAGCCTTCGAATGATATTCGAGATGTTGCAAATTCAACAAGATGCGATAGCGCAACTCCAAAATCATAATCAAGCACCAAGCAGAATTGAGCACAAAACATCACAAGAAGTTGTTCGTAGAGTCGAGCCTGTACCGGAGAAATCGAACGCCAATGAATCGGGGACTGACCTTGCCATTATGAAGATGCTTGAGGAGTTCACTAAACGGATTGAATCAGGATAAAAGAAAATCGTGGCAAATAATAAAAAAGTAGAAACATACAAATCCCGGGTTTACCAAATACCGGGAGCACCACCGATTCTAAAGGGTTTGGATTCGAAGAAGTTCGGGCAAAGACCGTTCCCACCTAGTGCGACTCAGAAGCCAATCCCCAAGAAGTTTTGTATGTCTGAGATTCCTAAGTATAATGAGATGACCGATTCGAATGAACACATCACCTCGTATATGTGCGCCATTAAAGGAAATGACTTGGAAGATGACGAAATTGAATACGTACTGCTAAAGAAGTTCGGGGAGACTCTATCGAAGGGTGCCTTAATATGGTATCATAACTTACATCCTAATTCTATTAATTCGTTTGCTATACGTGTAGATTCTTTTGTAAAGGCACTCGTCGAAGCCATTAAAGTTGCAACAAGGAAGTCGGACCTTTTCAAGGTAAGGCAGAAAAATAACAAGATGCTCAGGGAATTCGTATCTCGATTCCAAACGGAGAGAATGGATTTGCCTCCGGTCACCGCTGACTGGGCTGTTCAAGCTTTCACTTAAGGTCTCAACACTCGGAGTTTCATAGATTCACAGCAGTTGAAGCAACGCTTAATCGAGTACCCAGCTGTCACATGGGCCGCACATATATAATCGATATCAGTCGAAGATCAGGGTCGAGGATGATCAACTAGGGATACCTTCGGGGTCCGTTTATCCAAGCAGGCCCATGGATAGGATCAAAAGGGGCATCGATCGAGAACCGAGGTTGAATAGAGATCGATATCAATCGTACAACGGAGACCGTAGAGGCAGCGGGTCTAGGCGAAGCTTCACACGAAATGAGAGGAGAAATGATCAAGGTCCAAATTCACGGGGGCTTAGTGTCGAGTAAGATCACGTTAAATGTCCAAAATCTGAATGAAGGTATGACCCCATTCCAATTCTTTCTATTTTTTCGACTAACACTTGCAGGCTATCGACAAGGATCAACACGAAGCTTTGGATCTTAAAACAGGCAATGCACTCTTTTTCCCGTAGACTGGTTTTTGTCCCAAATGGATTTTTCCGCTGATGTTTTTAACGAGGCAACCATTGTTCGTGCTAACTTAGAGCAATTCAATAGAATCCGAGGTACCCCTACAATAAGCCTGGAGTACTGCTCGAATGTCTACTTTATTTCAAGGAAATTACTTCGTGACAGCGGGGTCTCGATAGGAAAATTTTGTAAGGGTCAAACAGTCACATGAACCGTGCCCATATAGGTTACTCAAGCCCTAACATCAAACATATGCGCATGTATAATCATCTATTGAGAGAAGTATTTTTCCTTGCTGATATCGCATGCCTTTAGAAAATTTTCCTATTTCATACTCTTGATCTATTATGTAAACAGGCTTAGGCCGACCATGACGGAAGTTCGAACAAATAACCCCACGCTCGAGGACTGCCTTCCGAAAAACAAATGAAATTGAACTACTAAAATGTTGAGACCATAACACCTTAAAGATGACCCTCGATTTTACAGGCCACGGTCACCCCACTCGGGGACTGACACTTCGGGCAAGGTCGAAGCGAAATGGGAAATAAGCCCAAAGGGAAGGTTCCGAACTAAAGAGGCTACGACCAAATTAATGCGGATCGGAGACGTCAGAAATTCCTAACAAATACAAAGGCCTAAGGGCTAACTTCACTTCGAGTTCGAGCAAGTTCTCAGTCGATCATAAAATCCCAAGGGCCCAAGGGCTATCTTAACCTAAGCTCGAGCAAACTCTCACTCGGGGACTATCTATAAAACCTAAGGGCTAACTTTACTTCGTGTTCGAGAAAATCCTAACTCGACTATAAAGCCTAAGGGCTAACTTCACTTCGAGTTCGAGCAAGTCCTCACTCGATCATAAAAGCCCAAGGGCTATCTTAACCCAAGTTCGAGTAAACTCTCACTCGGGGACTATCTATAAAGCCTAAGGGCTAACTTCACTTCGAGTTCGAGCAAGTCCTCACTCGATCATAAAAGCCCAAGGGCTATCTTAACCCAAGTTCGAGTAAACTCTCACTCGGGGACTATCTATAAAGCCTAAGGGCTAACTTCACTTCAGATTTGAGCAAATCCTCACTCGACTATAAAGCCTAAGGGCTAACTTCACTTCAGATTTGAGCAAATCCTCACTCGACTATAAAGCCTAATGGCTAACTTTACTTCGAATTCGAGCAAATCCTCACTCAACTATAAAGCCTAAGGGCTAACTTCATTTCGAGTTCGAGCAAGTCCTCACTCAATCATAAAAGCCCAAGGGCTATCTCAGCCCCAGTTCGAGCAAACTCTCACTCGGGGACTATCCACAAAGCCTAAGGACTAACTTTACTTCGAGTTCGAGCAAATCCTCACTCGACTATAAAGCGTAAGGGCTAACTTCACTTTGAGCTCGAGCAAATCTTCACTGGACTATTAAGCATAAGAGCTACTCAAACTCTAGTTCAAATGGCCATTCAGGGACCATCGATCTCGGTCGAAAGAACAAAGCCCCGAGCATGGATTTCTTCAAAGTCTCCCTCCAAGACCGACAATTGGTGCGCTCCTTAGCCCGAACCTGATCGGTTTCCTTTTATGGAACAGTTTAAATGTGTTGGCCATGTTGTTTTAGTAAGCAAGGAAGAATAGAGATTGGAATATTTGGTATTTCGGGAAGAACAAGCAAAGAAACTCAAAGACTCAATTAGTTTCTTGTCATTACACTCCAAAAAACGAGGGGACTATCTATATACGGTCAAAATCGGGTTTGCCTAATTTTGTATGACTGGCCAAAATCAGGATGGTATATCAACACTCGGCCTCGGTTATATCGGACCATGGTACAGATATGGATTGGTAAGCTCATTAATCAATGGTCGATCAGGATCGAGACCGAAACAGGAAAGAGATCGAACGAGATCGAAGGTAGCCTGCCAGGTCGAATAACAGAAAGCCGAGATAGCCGTGATCGGGCAAGGATCGTGGTGTAAATTTCGGCACGTATCAAGTCAGGACCGGTTATTTAGCCCATCATGGGATTTACTTCCGTAATTAGAATTATATCATAAATAGGATTCCTCCACTATATAAAGAGGGTCCTAATCATTTGTAAGGCACATTATTCACGCATATCAAAGCAATACAATACTTTTTCGCTTATACTCTTGTTCATCAGTTAGTTTGTTTCTTAACTATTTTTGGCACCGATCAGTTCAAAGGCACTCTAGCTCGAGGGATGAACTGCGTTACAACACTGTTTTGCTTTATCTTATTGTTAACTTCTATTACTAATATTCATATCTATCAATTGGTATTAGGTGAAATCACGTATCCTTAAAATTACATTATAAGTTTAATTGTTATCCAATTTTTAGGGAAAACAGCGAGTCAAATAATTATTTCCTTTGATAATAGTTTTCCAAAATATTTTAAGCGTTAAAGTTATGATAAATTTTATGTAGCTTTTAGGTATATCTATTTTATTTCAAATTCAGATATAATATGTTTACTCCACCCTAAAAAGTTATGTATTTAACACTACGTTATGCTTTTCTGCCGGGAAAGATTAACAATATTTAGACATGTGCAGATTTTTCGTATGAAATAATTTGACTTGACTAAAATAAAATAATCCAGTGTGAAACAACTCTTATAAAAGTAAAATGTTGCACGTGTAAGTTCAGTTGGAACTTTAACTATCGTCCTGTCACTTCTATTCTTATTGGCATTTGACTCTTTTCTTCTCTAAATATATACCTTTCCAAAGATATCTCAAACTTCTCTATGTGAAACAAGATTATAAGATAACTCTAGCCACTACAAGAAAATATTGTAATAACGGCGGTTATTAACTGCCACTATGACGGTTTTACGAAACGCCTGAAATTACGTCCGTCAAAAAATTATTACGAGGGGTTTCCCGGTAAACACCATAATTGAGCCCTGCATAAAATGGCGGTTCACAGCCGCCACAATTGCCTCTTTAAAGGGCAGTTTAAATCCGCCATAATTATTTTTCATTTGTAATTAATTTCTACAGCTTTTGTTCATTACATATATTTACCCTGTCCATTGCGTGAAAGCTTGTATATTACTTGTAACAGTTTTGACACAAATATAAGAGAACGGTTACTTAAATAAATCATTTGTTGTACATAAAACCCATAAGCACTTCATAATTACACCATCAAATGTATTAAAGTTCATGGAGTAATATTTTACATCAATTCAACATAAGGGAAAAAACAGTAATAAATCATAGAGATACATTCAATGAACACTCATGATCCGCATAGTTACTTCCATCGAGTGATCTTCTTGGGCTGCTAGATCACGTGACACAACTTCCTATATCATGTGTCGACAAAATAAATAAAATCAACAATTGATAAAAACCCAAAACTCAATCATGATTGTATGTGATCAATTTACTAAGACATGCTTGTACTGCTCTAACTAAACTTGGGCTGCTTGTACTTCTATCAACTAAATAATGTCCTTCTCTAAAAGATTAAGGAGAGTAATGTGGTAGATCAAACAAGCAAAAGATTACCTTCTATTTGAATGTTGTATGCCCATGTATAACTGATCCGTTAAGGTAAAAATGTAAACCTCACAAAACTAGTCATATCATTTTGATCTCACATAATTTTATTGGGTAAAAAAAGGGAAAATCCAAGACAAAAAAGCAACAAAATGGAAGAGGACAGACTAGCAAAATGTATTCTAAGGAAATTAGGAACCAAAATACCAACTGATGACACTGGATTATTGCTTTCCAATATAAGTTTTCACTACTTTTTTCTAAATTCTACCTCCATTATGCACGGACGATATAAGAAATTTACTCAATTAGGCCATTTAAAAGGTAAATTGTAGGTAAATCTATTTAATAGTATTGATATTTAAATTGAATAAATGGTCAGCAACATGTTACAACATGTTAAGTTACATTGATGGGTGTAATAAGTTATTGTATTGTAAGCATATATAATTTATATCTTTGTTAAATTACTAATTTCATTTATAATGATCAATAGTTATTTGTAAGTGACCTGATAGTATAAATTAAACAGTTACCTAAAATGAATAATTTCTACTTGCCTTTTGAACCCAGGCAATACCAAAATCAAATCCACAGCTTCCAATTTGTTGTGCTTCCTCAATGGAACTCGAGAGAGACAATCAGGATTAACTTGCTCAATATCATTTGATCCTGCTGATAGAGTCCGAGCAACTGATGCTAATAACTTTTGTGATTTTCCAGAAGTTTTCTGTAGATACTCATCCCTCAATTCTCCTAATTATCATGAAACAAGATTAATGGTAAGCAACTATAAAATGAACTCTTTGAAAATGGGGTAACTGTATGGCAATTAAATTGAAGTATTGAAGTACTTAGAGATAGTTAAGGTTTTTAAAATCCACTATGAGGTTTTACAATTGGTTGGTCCCTCTATTCTAAATAATAAGACAAATTACTTTCTCTTTGGTATGTTCAAACTGAAACTTGTCCTCTTGCCGAAAAGGAAAGATTTCTCTCCAACAGTCTAAACTAAAAGAGAAATATCAGAATATTTATCAACGACGGCTTGTTTGGTTTAATTATCTTGTTTGAAATAACTAAATTTTCCTGACTGTATAGTTTCTTTAGTTACCGTCACTATCTGGCTGTTGTCCTAAAACTAAAAAGCTAACTATTGACTTTAACATCCAAAAAGATTAATTATTCGAACAAACTCTGTAATAATTATTTTTCACAATCCAAATTTAACCATGCTCTGCCACTAACTAGACTGTTCCTTAGATATAATATAAAATAATTCTCAAAAAATAAAGAAAACTAAAAACAAATCCGACAGGTATATTGACAGATGAAAGCAAACTAACAATGAAACCGTAGAACCAAATTAATAAATAGAGAAAAGGAGATAAAATTAGAAAGGACCTAGCTAAACTTCGTTTGAAGTTGGGAGTTGAGATCACTAAAGTTGTTGCGGAGATAAGCAAACTCCATACGAGCTTCATCGTGTTTGAATCGATAGCCTCGGCGAGAATAGACTAGAAGCTTCGCCATTCCTTCTCGTGTCCGAATCGATGGCCTAAGCGAGAATAGAAGAAAGAATCGCCGGCTACGGCGATCTGATGATACAACGGCAAGGGAGAGGGAAAACTGCACAAAACAGAATTTATTTGGGGGAAGTTCTAATTGGTGAGACTTAGAGTGACACTTATTTTAGGTTTGCCCGCAGTAATATATGATAAACTGCCAATTTACGGCTGCATAATATGGCGACTTAACAATTGCGCTAATAGAGTGCTTATTATGGACTAAAATCGCCGCAATATTGTCGGTTTTTTGTAGTGATTTAGCTAATACAGTATTGAAGGGCTTAATTTTTCGTATAACAAATAGCTCTATGTGGGTTATGGCTAAAGGATATAGATAAGATAAAGTTGATCAAAGAATTCTTGCTTCTGACATCGTAAATTAAAGTTGTTAAATTTCAAAAGGATGATATAAGAAAATTTAATTGATAGTGTGATGGCTAGAAAAATAGAGATAAAGTTTGTCAGAAAGTATTCCTTTTGAATTTATTCATAAAGATCTTAAGGTTAGACGAGAATGCTAGCTTTTGCTTTTTGGTATATCTAGATTTGTAATTTATAGATAGAATAAATATTTTTTGAGATGTATGCATTAACTATATTTAGTGTATAATCTAATTAAAAAATTTTAAAATACATGTACAATGCACGTATAAATAGACTAATTATATTTAAAACTGTTTAAATCTAAACTTCTTATTTTACTCTTGTAATGATATATCCTTTTAACGATTGAGATCTTATGACATATGTTTAAGATAACAATTTACAGAAGATTTTTTTTTCTTACCCTCGATGTACAATCAAACAACTTTTACGTAAATGATATTCTTGTCCATTGTTTAAACTTCTGTGCGGAAGTTCTGAAAGTAAAAGGAAGAAGTAACGTCCAATTGAGTGTGAGCACTAGCGCACCGGCTAAAGTAGAATGATGGCCCCCCATTTTTGCACCATTGAAATTGACGGAGAAAAGACAAGAAGTATGGAAAAGGAAGAGCACTATCACATTTAAGTTGAATTTGTAAGGAGAGAGGTAGCTCTGCTTGACATGAAGTGTCAACATGATGACATTTGTAGCCTATATGAGAGTATGTGCCTCTTCGTGCGTAGTCCTTTTTTTTCCATAGGTCAAATACGTGATATTTTCTTTTCGTAATGAGTACGTAGTTGTAAGATTTCAATTCAAGACATTTTTTTTTTGTACTATGTTGAACTTAAATGTGTAACCATAATGTTTGAAAATTTAAATTATTAACTAGAAAAAGGTGTACTTTTATTTTACGCTTATTACATGGAAAATATCGGCTCCTGTTGCTTTTTTGAGCCGAGGGTCTTCTGGAAACAGTCTCTTTACCCTTCGGGGTAGAGGTAAGGTCTGCGTACATATTACCCTCCCAGACCCCACCTATAGAATTATACTGGGTCGTTGTTGTTGTTGTTATTACATGGAAAAGGATTAAAATTGTACTTAACCTATTAGAAATGACTCAAAATTGTTCTCATCCACCTTTTAGTCCAAAAATATGGCTAACGCTCTCTTTAGTATTAAAATTGCCCCTTATTGGATGTGTGGGGTTTCAAAATCCATGTGGCACTGTCCAATTGGTTAACATTGAACATTAAATTAATAGACACAACCTATAAACTCGACCCACATATTCTATACCCATATTTTCCTCCTTATTGTTCTTGAAAAGTTTCCGTAAGAGTTCTTCCTATGGAATTCAGTAACAACTGTTATTAGACAATTAGTTTGAAATTCCAGGGATAGAAGCTAGGGACAACAAATTAAGGTTAAAAGATATTTGCCTTCTTATGGCCATTCTGAATTCAGACGAGATACATTAGGGATAATCCCGTCTTTGTGCAGCTCAATTTCATGTATAGATCAACTCTTCTACTTCGCTAATATTGACTGCACGAGTAAAGCATCTCAGATTATCATACTAGCTAACTAATTAAAGAAGCAAACAAAAAGAAGAAACGGACAGTGCACTTGTTTTAGGGAGCTTATGCTTCTAATTGTATTTTGGAGATTGGACTTTCTTTGTATGAGATTATAATTAGTGAGTGTATAGGGTAAAATATGTTATGCTAAGTAATTGCATAAGAAAGCAACACGTGGAGCCAGAGGCAGAAGACAACTATAACAGAAGATAATTGTTCTATTTGTTACCGAAAGGAATGATGCTCATAAAGATGCAATAAATGTCTGCCACCCGGTGACATTTAATGGAAAATATTCTACATCACTCAATATGATGCATGTTACAAAAAAATATAGCATTAATGTCTGTTGTTACACATTCTTCAATGACCCTCATAATTGGCATTGAGGACGAGCTTGATCCTAGGTCCTTATTCCCTACGTTTAACTATAAATAGCGAGCTATATTATCATTGTAAAAGGGGAAAATTTTCTGGCATGCTTATCCTATAATCTATTCAAAGCTCTATACAATTTTATCTTCTTATTTTTTGGTTTAGCTATTGCTGTGCCCCGAAGCCTTGCTCCCATGATTACTATTTCTGCTATTTCATCTTCATATCAAGGCAAAGTATCACATATTTCTTTAATTTTTTTATTATTTCAGGATCGAATTAATTCACATATCTAAAAACTACGTATAAATTTAACTGTACTGTTTTACGAATAAACAATAAGGCCAATATAAATTTTTCGCTTTTTGAGAGAGTTTACCTACTACTTTTTTCATAATCATATAAGCTCCGCTTGGATATGATTCTTGCTAATATGGGCTTAGTTCATATCAGATAGATGATGAAGAAGAAAAGGACATTGGGTTTAATAAATATATGGGCATCAAAATATGGGGGTCGGGCTTATGGGTTAGGTCTAATAAGTTTTATTCCTCAACGTTACCAATTGAAAAGTGCCACCTGGATTATAAAAAAATCTCATACATCCGATAAAGCAAACGTTAGTTCAAGGGACAGTTTTTTATGCTAAAGAAAATGTCAATGGCATTTTTGGACCAAAAGGTGAATGAGGACAATTTTGAGCCATTTCTAATAGGATAAGACCATTTTTGAAGCTCTCATGTTTATTATATACTCCCTCAATTTCAATTTATCTGAACTCATTTGATTGGACACGGAATTTAAGAAAAGAGAGAAGATTTTTGAACTTATGATGTAAAATGAAACACATATATTTTGTGTGGCTATAAATCATTATATAAAGGTAAATTGTTTTCAAATAGGGAAAGAGGTCATTCTTTTTGGCACGAATTAAAAAGGAAATAGATTCACATAAATAAAAACGAAGGAGTATTTCCGAACCATTTCCAAAAGGGTGACCAATCAAATACATAAAGGACGCTTCTTATTTCTTCATAACAAATTGAATCCAAAACATGAAGAAAGCAACCATTTCTTGGAGATCCGATCGGACCTTTTTGCAGCATGTCGAGAAGACATCTAATCCGTGTGTCACATATGGGGCCTACTTTTGTCACATCAAAGATAGTTCACATCTTACCCCTACTCGAAGGAGCAGAGAGATTCTTAATGCTGCATTTATTTTATCGTAATGCTGCATTTATTGTATGATGAATTGATTCAAGCAATAAAAATCCAAAAGATAAGATGCGTTATTGTAGGGAGCATTTAATCATACATACTTTGGTATAGGGAACATTTTTAATCTTATAACTAAAAGCATTATGGTTATTATCTTGATTTTTTGTTTCTTCTTAATTTCGGAACATTGTTAATTTCTCTTCATCGAGTGAAGTATGTGCATAAAGTGTTGTCATAATGACTCGTACCTGCCATAGTGCTTCGTAATTTCATATAGCACTAGCTAGGGCTTAGGTTGCTGCGCAACTGCAGCACTTGAAGATGATAAGAAATTAAAAATTGAAACACCTTTTCTCTTGCATATCATTGTGTACTTACTATTCATGGTGCCACCCACCCCCTTGCCTTTTTCCTTTTCACTAAGTTAAAAAGTGGAAACAGGTCTAACCGAGCATGAACAATTGAAGGATCTCGATGTTACCTTATGCACTGCAATTCCAAAGGACATATTTTAGTCACAAGCAAAGGTAGATTCACAGTTTTAATTTCACGGGTTCAATATTTTGGTTTCAACTATTAAATTTATCACCTTGTTTGAATTGGCTTTATAGCTTAAATTTTCAGTTTCATACAAAAAATCTAGGTCTAGTATAAAAATTATGAGTTTAATTAAACTCATAGCCAAACTATTGGATCCGTCCTAGTCACCAGATATATTGTATTTTAACAATAAAAATAATAACATTAAATTACATGGCTTTTCGTTTAATGGCTATAAAGGCGAGAAGTTGACCATAATTACTTTATGTAAGTCCTGAAATCACTATCACATGATCTACCTAATTAATATTCCACTAAATGTTAAGTAATTATATATCTATCAATTCCATGATTTCAAGTTTTTATAACTTTATTATTTCACTAAATTCTTAGTTATTCTATGGAAGAATATCCATACCTATAATTAGAAGTATGCCTTCCTTGCAAGTGATGCATGAAAAAAGTGTTAATAATGTGTATCAAAAAGGGAGGTGTAGAAAGAAAGAGATTGTGAGACAATCAGAAATATCCAACGCGTTCACTATAAGGAAAAAAGAAGAATACTATTACTTGTTGAAGAAAGGTGTTATTTGCAATAGAGCTTTAAACTCAATCGCTAGTTAGTGCTATTTAAATGACACTGTTATATCTTAGTAGGAATAAGTGAAGAGTGTACTCGTGTATTTAAAATTTGTGCTCTTGTTTTATTAATTTTTTACTAACTTTTTCGATCTAGTATTTGGTTTATTTTGTTTCTTCTTAAATTAAACAACAATTTATTTCTTTTTCGCTTTAAGTGTGAATACTTAGATCATATGTAATTGCCTAAGATTATCTGAGGAGTTATTAATGTCTCGTCCTCGTAACAACAACAACAACAATAAAATCAATATACTTCTAATGTCGAATCAGGATCAACTAGGACAGAAATAAAGCATTGGGTCGAATAATAATAATAATAATAACAACAACAACAACAACAACAATATTCTTGATAAAAAAATCCAAAAAGAAAAGGAAAAAAAGTCATGCATTACTCAAATGGTTGTTCATACTCTTTCTGGCATTGCATAGACGACTTCAAACAAAGAATAGGGTTGCATTCTGGGCAAATTTAGAGGACATGATATGCCCTCTATGTACGAGAGAAAATGAGGACATTGATCACATGCTGTTTCAATGCGTCTATGCGAAAGAAGTCTGGAATAAATTGCTGCAATGGCAACACATAAGAAGGGGACCAGGGGACTAGCAAACAGAGGTGCTATGGGCAATCAGATATACCATTGGAAAGAAGGCACAACATGAAGTATACAGAATGGCGTTGGCGGGTGAACTTTACCACATTTGGCAGGAAAGGAATACGAGGATTTTCAAGATGCAAAGAAGGACAGCTCATCAGGTGGTAAAGTAAGTGATACAGGAGGTTCATCGGAGAGCAAATAGAAGTAGTAGACTTAGCAAATATATGGAAACGTTAAAT